TCGTCACTTCGACTTCAACGCTCCCCGTCGATCGCTCTACGTGTCACTTTGCATTTTTGATGGTCATTCCATCATAGTTTTTCGACGACTGCATCTGCAGCCCTCATGGGCATGCTTTTTCTCCACAATCTCGTCAAGAAAGAGGTTTACTTACTGCCTTGCCAGTATATTCGGCAGAAATGACCTCCTAAACGGCACGTTACAGGATCCTGGTGCAATACGAGCGAGGGAAGAGCATTCAGTAGCCTTGGTGCCTCTTTTTAAGTCCTTTGTGACTACCTTTATCAACTGCTAAATCCACAAGATCTCGGCTTTAATTAGAAGCATCTCATTTATGGTAGTAAAAAAATAAATCTATTTAGGTATCCAAGACGTGACTCTGCTCTTCAGCTGTTACATTTTCAAGACTCTCTTTCTCAGTGAAAGGACTTCTTAGTCAAGTTAATGGAATATATTTGTAGGACGATCGCTGGTTGTGCAAGGTTCCCTTAATTACATAGGCGAGTAAAATGCCACCTTGTACATTTATTCTAGGAGAGTGGTGGAAGCAATTAGGGCTGAAATAGAATAGACTATAAGAAATGGGGAAGCATGTTCCTCGTAGTACTTATAAGAAGCGCCTTTTAATTAACGCCACAGAGATAGTTTTTAATCAAGACCACAGATATGTCCATACACCTTCGATGCGTCTTAGCTTCTTGCAGCTAATGCAATTTGCATAAATTTAGTTAGCTTTTCAATCCTGATTATAGGAAACCCTTCCGGTGATCTCGATTGTTTCAACCCCTTTTCCCTAAGCAACAAGTGGTCCATTCGGAAAGATCCACTGACACGAACTAGGCACATAGTCTAGTCACAACTGATACTCAAATCGCAGGAGAGTTGCAACAATTGCCCGTTCTCCTTATTCCATTCAGTACCCCTGGTATGACGTTTACAATGGCGCTGGAAGCCTTTTTACCGACACGATGATGGAGTTTCCTGGTGAGAAATTAGAGTTGCTTCCAGGATCATCGGCATCTGGAAGGGTGATGGACTGTGTTCGAGTGCGAGGGCGATTTAACTTCCTCCC